CATGTTCAACTACTCGTCTACATGTTCAGTGCAAAGATCAAATCTTCTTTTTTCTGTGTTGTGGAGTTTCTGCGTTTGTTCCGCTTCATGTAAACCAGACATTTGGAGAGTTTGGCCAATAAGACAAAAACAATAATAATGTAAATATTTCTACAGTATATAAAAAGAAATAGTCATAAACAGAAGTACATTTCTAGATAATAACATTCTACTTAGAAAACATAAACAATGTTGTATTTTTTCCCCGTATTCATTATGGTGGAGATGTTTGGTCCGAACACATTCGTACAAAAACGTAAAATACTGATGAAGTACACAGAACCGGTCGTAGCACCTTTTGTCTCGTACGGTCGGTGAACATCGGTTAAGTCGTGCGAGACTTTGTGTTCCTACCTGATGATATCACAGGTCACATGATCTCTCTCTTTCTCCTCAAACAAAACAAGATAAGTGCCCAAAGTATCCGTCTGACCGTGAGTCCTTTTAGCTGTGAAACTGTTCTCAGCTCAGTCCTTTCTGCTCATATGACATGTGACATGTCCATTTAAAGACAGCATGCCCCCCCCCCCTCCTCCAAAGGCATTGATTAAATAATATGAACCTTAAATATGTGTAAACTATCCTTCAGAGAGTATCAGCTAACAATGTCTAAAGGTTTCCATGTAAATAAAGCATCACAGTTTGAATGTGTTTGTTCATGTCTCTTTGTCCACTTGTGTGTCCACTAGTGTATGAATGTGTGTGTGTGTGCATGCCGATGTGTGTGTGTGTGTGTGTGTGTGTGTGTGTGTGTGTGTGTGGCTCAGTTGTGGCCCTTGAAGCAGTACGCTCCGTACAGCTTGTGCTTTTTGTCGGGGAAGCCGCTGAACCTGACGGCGGCCTCCGTGGGGCTGCAGCGCTGGCGGGGGCGGGACACGGGGTAACGGACGCTGCCGTCGGCCAACCAGCCGGCGTCGCAGCGGTCGTAGCCCAGCAGCTTCCAGGCGGCGTACATCTGGCCGACCTTGGCGATCTGGGCGCCGTCCTGTTGGCACGCCCTCACCGCCTCGTCGTAGGTCAGCTTAGACGGGTGGATCAGGTAGTAGAACCGACCTGAGACGACAGGAAGACGAAGAACGATGAGCACAAAGACGTGAAAACACAACGTGTGTGAGAACTAACGACCACTAACGACCGCTGAAGGCTGCAGGGTTTATTAAACCTGAGGACAATAAAAGAAGCTGAGCAATAAGCTTTCATCAATTCAAGTTATTTGCAAAAACATTCAAGAAATATTATCTTTCGGGACCTCCAAAAGTTTCGGGTCTATTGGCAGAAATGGAACGTAATATAAAAGAAGTATTTTTAGTGTATAATCACCTCGAAACAAGAATCATTTTATTTTTCCTAAGCTGTTTTTACAAAAGCAGAGAATGGACAAACCAAACAAGAGTTTCAGTTGGTTGCAATCTGCAGCCTCACCACTAGATGCCACCAGATCCAACACACCGGTCCTCAAACACTCTGAAATGGGCCTAAATGTTCCTAAAGTGCATTCAATTGGTAATACTTTGGTATTTTTACTCAAGTAGAATTCTGAATGCAGGACTTTTACTTGTAACTGTTTTTAGATTGTGGTATTGTTCTTTTTTGAGCCAACAGATAAAGAGGCCTGACCCACCAGCCTGCTGTATTTCATTGGACAATTGTCTTTTGGGGCAACCTGCTTAATTAACGGTAAACACACACACACACACACACACACCTTGGTAGTGGGAGGTGAAGCAGAACACGTCGTAGTGGTTCTTCTCTTTGTCTCTCAGGCCGTAGTTGCGGACGCCCGGCAGCATGTTCTTGCCTCCGCAGGGTTCTCTGGGGTTGGTGATGGGGTACTGGACCGAGCCGTCGCTCAGCCAGCCGGCGTTGCACCAGTCCAGCTTCCCTCGCCATGCCTCGTGCAGCTGGTCGAAGGAGGCCACGACGGCGTCCTGGTCCCGACACGTCCGCTCAGCATCGTAGAAGTTGAGGTTGTAGCGACCCAGGCGGGGGAAGTAGGGGAAGACGACGCCTACGGAGGGAGTTAGCAGGTTAAACCGCGTTCGGATTGGATCCTGTTGTTTAACCTCATGACTGACAGCATGTCTCCATGTGTAAGCACAACCGTCTCTCTGCTGGCTTCAGGCTGACGTCTCAAACACAATGAAGCTGACACTAATGAACACTCTGCTGACTTTCCCCCCCGAGCAGTCGCCGTTTGCACTGCTAAATGTAGTCAGCCTCTTACAGAACAATGACATTCATATCGACATTTTCATGTCCAAGAGTTGGTTCACCTTCCAGGTCGAGGGACACCACCACTGTTCCATCTTCCAGCCCATCGATGACTTCACACTTGTATCTCCCATAATCCTCCAGGGTGAGCTCTGTGATGACCAGCGAGGCGTCCATGGGGGAGGAGCCCTGCAGGTGGACGCGTCCATGGAAACTGCCGTAACTCCTTTTGTGGTAATCCATGGCGACAAATACGTCCACCTAGAAGGAGACAGAGAGAGATGTTCTGTTATTGTTGAACAGCACAATAATAATGTTTCATTGCTTCATGTTACAGAACATGCAAACCCCATTCTTAGAGTGTTAAGCTCAGTGTGTGGCATTTCACGGATCTATTAGCAGAAAAACACTTTTACACTCGTACACGCGTACATTTTATTTAAAAATAAACTTTCGTCTTCACAGGAAACTCCTCGAACTGCCAACAGGAAAGGTTTATACAAAGTTCTATGTTGTGCCTTTGCTTTTACTTCCTGGTTCATGATGTCGTGGATGACTGCAATCCTGAAGAGGTCGGAGTGAGTGGAGACGTGTTCAGTTGGACGCAGTTTGCAACCAAACCACTAGATGTCACTAAATCCTACAAACTGGCCCTTTTGAATCAAAAGTTCAGATATTTGCGATAGTTGGAAAATATGTTTGTTCACTTTCTGGTGGGGACTTGGATGAGAATATTGACACAGCTCTCATATCTGTCTGTTAAATAAAAGGCTAAAGCCTACAGCCAGCTAGCTTAGCTTAGCATAAAGATGGAAACAGGTGGAACAGTTAGCTAGGCTTTGTCCAGAGTCGACTAAATCTGCCTAATTGACTCTTGTTTGTTTAATTTTTACAAAAAAAGTGTAATTAACAAAATCTCTATGTTTTTTTTAATATTTTGAAACCTGCATTTGTTCAATCCCATGTTTACGTTTCTGTTGCTAAATGTTGATCAGCTCAAAAGGATAAAAACACTTTTATTCTCTACACATTTGCATAATGGACTTCTGCGTCTGCAGGAATCTGTATCTGTACAAACCTCCTCCTGTGCATTCTAACAGAGCACAACATACAAACAAAACCCACTTCTTACACATAAGTGATTATTTAAATTTAAGTTTGATCCAAAAGAGAAACCAGCAGAGTGTTCCTTTAATTCATTACATGATGTTACGGAAATGCTGCACATTGTAACAAAACAAAACATCTAAGAACACAGATAAACCGTAATATGTAAAATATGTATTGACCTCTTTCAGGTAGTCTGACGTCAGCTTGGTCCATTTGATCCTCATCTTCCGGCTGGGCGTCAGGGATCGGTCCATTCGGATCTTGCATGGTAGCGTAGCGTTCCCTCCTCGCCTCGACACAACCTTCAACTGTTCCGCCGCCACCGAGAGTCGAGGACCGTTCTCTGCAAGACGGCGACGAAAAGATAAAGCAGTCTGGACCGGTTATTATACAAACTAAAGGATTTTAAATATTTACAAACATCATCCGTAGTTGGTTTCAGAATCCAAACTTTTAAAGCAATAGTTTAAGATTTTGGGAAATGAACTTGAAAGATATCTCTATAGTCAGGACGCAGTTAGCCTAGCTTAGCATAAACACTGGAAGCAGGGGGAAACAGCTAGCCTGGCTCTGTTTAAAAATAATCTTAATAATAATATAATGTCCCGTTTGAGTCCAAAGTGATGCGTTTGAGTGTAAACCTGAAAATTCAAACTGTTCCTGAACACAACATTCCTCTGCTGTGACCTTCAGCCTCATCACTAACCGAGGGTTCTGATTGGCTGTTTAACCACCGCAGCGTTTTACTTTGTCTGCTGTGTAAGCACATACACACACACACACACGCACACACACACACACACACACACACACACACGCTTCATCCATAGAACTGATCAAACAGCTGATGGCTCATTGATCCTCTGTGCTGTTAAACGGAGAGATGACTCCTTCTTCTTCTTCTTCTTCACTTCCTGAATCGTTGAACTGATTTTAGTTTCTGATGAAAGTGAAAGTCTGAATGTTCATTCTGAGATTCAGCTGTTTGTTTCATGTCGTTATGGTTACATTAGTTCGTTAATGGTTAGTTAGTCTAGTTAGTCTAGTTATTCTCGTTAGTCTAGTTATTCTTGTTAGCTTGAGTTTGTTCATCACGTGTTTGTTAGTTTGTGATTATTCACTATACTTACTATATACTAGTCAGTTACTTAGTTATTTACTGAGTTAATTAACTTATTTAGTTTTACTTTTGTTAGATATGAGTTTTTGATTATTTATTTGACTATCAATTAATTATTGGTTAAATTGCATTCAGTATTATTATTATTATGTGTAAGTTGCTAACTGCCGAGGTATGTATTTATTTATTTGTAGTCACCAGTTAGTTAATTAGTTATTTTGTTATTTAGTTAGTTAGTTAGATATTGGTGTGTTAGTAAGTTATGTGTTAGATAGTTAATAGTTAATAATAATTGTGTATTAATTAGTCTGTCATTGGCTAATAATTGGGTAGTAGGTATAACTTAGTTTTTTCGTTACTAGTTAGTTAGTTAGTTAGATATGGTTATGTTATATGTTACGTGTTGTTAAATAGTTAGTTAATAGTTACTCGTTTGTTAGTTATTGGTTAGTTATTAGTTTTTAATTTGACATTATATTACTCGTTAGTTACTTCATGTTTTCAGTTCAGCTGGTTCAATTTAGTCAGTTGTTTCGTCACTATTCTTAAATGAATTAGCATAGCAGCGTTATCTCTGCAGCACAACCAGCTGATAAACCCAGCAAGCTAACGACGCCGCGGAGCGCTAATAAAGTGTCGCGAACGAAACTCTGGAGAAAAAAGAGGCTGTAAGAGGCTGTAAGAGGTTGTAAGAGGTTGTAAGAGGTTGTAAGAGGCTGTAAGAGGCTGTAAGAGGTTGTAAGAGGCTGTAAGAGGCTGTAAGAGCCTGGAAGAGCCTGGAAGAGGCTGTAAGAGGCTGTAAGAGGCTGTAAGAGGTTGTAAGAGGCTGTAAGAGGCTGTAAGAGGTTGTAAGAGGCTGTAAGAGGCTGTAAGAGGTTGTAAGAGGCTGTAAGAAGCTGTAAGAGGCTGTAAGAGGCTGTAAGAGTCTGTAAGAAGCTGTAAGAGGTTGTAAGAGGCTGTAAGAGGCTGTAAGAGGTTGTAAGAGGCTGTAAGAGGCTGTAAGAGGTTGTAAGAGGCTGTAAGAAGCTGTAAGAGGCTGTAAGAGGCTGTCAGAGCCTGGAAGAGGCTGTAAGAGCCTGTAAGAGGCTGGAAGAGGCTGGAAGAGGCTGTAAGAGGTTGTAAGAGGCTGTAAGAGGCTGTAAGAAGCTGTAAGAGGCTGTAAGAGGCTGTAAGAGGCTGTAAGAGGTTGTAAGAGGCTGTAAGAAGCTGTAAGAGGCTGTAAGAGGCTGTCAGAGCCTGTAAGAGCCTGTAAGAGGCTGGAAGAGGCTGTAAGAGGTTGTAAGAGGCTGTAAGAAGCTGTAAGAGGCTGGAAGAGGTTGTAAGAGGCTGTAAGAAGCTGTAAGAGGCTGTAAGAGGCTGTAAGAGGTTGTAAGAGCCTGGAAGAGGCTGTAAGAGGCTGTAAGAAGCTGTAAGAGGTTGTAAGAGCCTGGAAGAGCCTGGAAGAGGCTGTAAGAGGCTGTAAGAGCCTGTAAGATGCTGTAAGAGGCTGTAAGAGGCTGTAAGAGCCTGTAAGAGGCTGTAAGAAGCTGTAAGAGGCTGTAAGAGGCTGTAAGAGGCTGTAAGAGCCTGTAAGAGGCTGTAAGAGGCTGTAAGAGGCTGTAAGAGGCTGTAAGGGCCTGGAAGAGGCTGTAAGAGGCTGTAAGAGGCTGTAAGAGCCTGTAAGAGGCTGTAAGAAGCTGTAAGAGGCTGTAAGAGCCTGGAAGAGGCTGGAAGAGGCTGTAAGAGCCTTTAAGAGGCTGTAAGAGGCTGTAAGAGGCTGTAAGAGGCTGTAAGAAGCTGTAAGAGGCTGGAAGAGGCTGTAAGAGCCTTTAAGAGGCTGTAAGAGGCCTCTGCATGACATGTAGCCCCCCCTCTCACCTGTGACATAGATGGTCCTCGAGTGCTCCAGCTCAGGGTACAGAATGTCTAAATCATTGGCTGCTACGCTCAATGAGATCAACGCACAGATCAGCACGGGAATCATCTTCTCTCACCACACCGCCGGTCCGATCACTGCAGAGAAGAAGAGGGGGGGGGGGGGGGGGGGTTACAGTACGTACAGTAAGAGGAAGAGGATTTAGAGAAAAGGAAAGTTATTCATATACACGAGCATCATCTGCATTGAGGCTGCTGTGCAGCGTTTCTACCTGCAGTGCTGTTCTCTCTCTCTGCAGCACAAACACACACATTCAAAACACCTTCAGATTCTCACTAGTGAGTCGTCTCAAAATACAAAGAACTCTGCATGTCGCAAAGATCACTTTGATTCGTCCTCGATGCCCCAAAGCAGGACGTCCCGGGAGAAGCTTCAACGCTACAGAGGACGACACAAACACACACACACACACATTCTGGATAAAACACACATGTAGCAATATACAGTACATACTGTAAATACTGTGCGGTGAATATTCCCCCGTCATCCAACATGTCCCGGAGACACTGACAGTCCACAACTTCTGCCACAGTGCAGCATCACGCTCACACCTCAGGCTTCATTCTCACACACACACACACACACACACACACACACACACACACACACACAC